CCACCACTCTTTCCAACTTAGGTTTTTCTCCCCATGGATTTTCTCCTCCCTGCCAATGTCCAGCCCCCAGGTAGTCTTTGTGAGGTGTCCTCCTCCTGCCCCTGTCCACTTTAAGATTTAAAGCCCCTTGTTCAATTAAAAAAAAAAAAAAGTTCTAAACTTTGTGACGGTCTGCGATTGGTTTCCCTTGTCATCTTCCATTTGATCAGTTGTTCTTTCTTCTTGTGCTACTGATTCTTTGTCTCTGCACTAAGTGCCCCAACCTAACCTAGTGTCTACTTTGAATTTTGGTGATGATATTACCTTTTCAATGCGGCCAATAAAAGATCAAAGTTTTACTGCCTTCCCAAACAAATTACTTCAGAACTATTTGACTTTACCATAATCTATTTCAGAGCCATTTAGCAAACTTTGGCACACTGGCTTTCTAAACTATCATTTTGAACATCATGCATTTTTTCTGCGAGGCCTGTTGAATGTTGATGTAATGTACTGTGGCCAAAATACGTATTTAAATATATGTACATTTGCATAACACGTGTAAGTACAATCCACCACAAGCTTAACAGATGAAGGATAAACAAACCATTCAGATCAACTATTAGAGTTGACCAATTCATTCCAATCAACTTGGAACATAATTCTTTTGACCTAGTAGTAAAGCACAGCCTTACAGAGCCACATAGTTGGCTTTCTGTGGTTGATTTACCACTATGATTGCAAACTGCGATAATAATGTGAGCTAATTCTGACTCAGCAAAGTTCTCCAAGTCTGTAATCCACAGAGTGAGAGATCCTGGTTTTTAATTTTAAGATTGTCCAATCTGGGTCTAGCCCTGCAGGTAACATTGCTTATGACATTTATGAGTCAAATTTCCGCTGCCATTTTGATACATGCAAACAGAGTGAGTCACAAAGGAGAGAGAGTGAGCAATTTAACATTAACTTATCACTTTAGTCATCTGGGGAAACCCTAGTAACCCCGGAATGATAGATTTAACTGAAATGCCTTCTACCACTTATTTGTTTAATCACGCAGCGTTTGGGAAAAAACGGATGAAAATGTTTATTTCTGCATTTGAGAAGTAGCTCAAACAGTTAAAATGATATCGACAAATTTGTAAAAAATGTGAAAAAAATATCAAACTTCACTTACATCCTAATTAATCCCCCAAGGGGAATTTGTGTTTACAATCTGTTATTGACAGACATGATACCTACACACAAAGAAGTGACATACACACACATGCATTACCAGGACATTAATAAAGAGATGTCAGCGAGAGTGGGGCTGCACACAGGGGGCGCCCCGTACTTATGTTTAACTCTAATTCCTCCCAAAAATGTACACATTGCCCCCCTCTTACAGAATAAAGTAGAGAAAGCGTCATGTTAAGACTAGGCTTGGTATGCATATTACAAAAATAAAAGGCTAAATCAATGAGGAAATCGTTTACATCTTTTTTAACATGATTGAGTTTTTTAAGTTAGCAATGAGAAATGTCAAGTCTAATAAAAACATCTATAAATCAAACCTCTTTTGCTGTCGGAAAAAAGGTCTACACCCTGGAGTTGGGTTAACTAATGGTGTCACAGTGGTAGAACAACAAGGATGAGTTGCAGATTAACAAAAAGTAATTTAATCAAAAAATAGCTTACAGTTTACTGAGTACAAACCAAAATGTCCATTTATAAGGAAAAACACAAAATTCAATTAAACACATAGACCCAGGGGGAAAAACTGGTAAGACAACAGAAATCCAGGCGTAACACAGAGCGGGTGACTTGGGACAAACTGACGCAGAAGGGAGGGAACACAGAGAGTAAAAGCACTGGGGGAAATCAAACACAGGTGTGAGAAACGAGAAATAGGTTAACGGATGAGTGCAGTCAAACTGGAGGGAAAACACACAAGGACAGGAAGTAAAACTCTTTATGAGATACAGGAGGGGAAAAAACTACAAAATAAAACAAGAGACTCTGCACTTTTTCATCATGAAATGACACTCATCATGCTCGTCTGCAGGACACACAAGAAGCTATTTAAGAGAGAACACAAGAGGCCCTTTTATATTGACAGAAAAATAGTGAACATCAGAGCGAAAATGCACAGTCCATTTGCACTTCTACTTCTTTTAATCACATGTCTCTGATAAACATTTCCTCCTACAGCGGGAGCCATTACAGAGCTGTGGATACTCACAGTTTGATAACTAACAAGTGTCTTAATGGTGAGAAGTATGACAACATGACTGAGAGCATGGCTGCTTTTTAACTTTCAGATTTCACACATATGTCCATTAGCAGCATGACCTCGTGAAAAATAATCTGTGAAGGCCGCCTGTAGGAATCAAAGGTTTACTGTGACATCATGTCTGCAATAAGGTACTGATTGTAAGACTGCTGAGGGACAAAATGGTTCAAATACTCTCTATTTTCTTGTAGTCAGAAAATACCAATGAAAGAAAAAAGTCTGTGCACTAGGTTGTTTCAATGCTCCTTTTGACTTTTGACTTCCCTCTTCTTTCTCGGCAACTCAGAGTCGTGAATCCATAACAGTAATGTTTTTCATGTCTTTTTTCATCAACTGTATCTCTGAGCTGAACCAAATGTTCGTCATCATGGAAGTGTTTTCAGTCCTTTAACCTCTTAAGATAGAAAAAAACAAAGACACTGACCAGCTCTATCTGGACTTGCTTTCTCATTTGGAGAAGTGAAATCCACATTGAAGCCGTCCGACTGGGCATCATGAAGCATTACAACCCTGCAACAGTTGCAACCCCCAAGGTCATTTTGGCTTCCCTTTATCGCAAGCAGGTTTGAAAGTATCAATATTTTAACCCACTTTGAGTGGACAGCTTTTGGAGGTCAAAAAACCCCAGCAACCCTTGTAGTATGGAGATAAACAAAATAATGGTGAAGAAAGTCTTTCTTATAGACTCTTCATCGGTTCACTTGAGTAGACATGTAATAGATGACCTCATGATGAGTAATTCAAAACACAAAATAGACACAAAGAACCTACCAAACTGACTTTAAATAAGGCAAATATCCACCTGTTGGCAAAGTGTCACTGTCCGTGGTCCTGAAGTTCAAGAGTCACATGACTTAGTTATTTTCTACTATTGCTCCTTATTTCTTCCTTGTTTCAATTTCTCGTGTCAAAAATGTTTTTTTAGGAGTTAGGTTAAAAAAAATAACTATATAAAAAATAAATTCTCAAACTAAATTGATTGGAAACAGTCTGAAATGTCATCGTAAGGTGTATAAAAGGATGGGGGAAAGTTATGTAGCTATTAATAAAACCAAGTCTGTACATGTAGATATTGCAGTTGATGCATTTGTTTAATATAGGAATTTTCCTTCTCTTTTAAAGGGCTATTTAACTACACTGAAAAGGCCATCAGCCAAGTAATATTCATGCTGTCATACATGATAATATTTAAACAACAACAGTCTCATGTGCTAAAATGTCCACCATCAAACAATCAGCCAGACAAAAGACTCAGCTTTGAAAAATAAAACAATATCTTTTATTTGGTGACTGGTGTACATCACTATATGCACTAAAGGCAGGTCTATGCTCAGTTATAACATCTTTGCTCTACATGTTGGATAGTATAAAGTGATTATATGCATTTGTTTCCATTCAAAATGTGTTCCTCCTTTACATTTTTATCATCAAACAACCAAGATTGGATTCTCTAAAACAATTCAATAAAAACTTAGCTCATGGTTGCACCATTGAAAATGTATACAACAACCTTTCATTTGATTTTAAAACAACAGATGATGTTAAAACTTGTCCTAATGTGCTGTCCCTTGTGATATAGAACAAAATATATTGAAATTGAAACAAGATTAATCAAATGTTTCATTGTAGTTTCATAGATGTGTTGTTTTATTTAAGGTAAATTAGTCAATATAACTTTGATATCATTATTTTAATCAATCATGGTCCAATCAACATATGTCCAATTTAAAGATCAGGTGTCTGTTTTTTTTTTTAACTTTAAGCTAAAATAAAGGATTGTGGAAAGGGTGGATTAAATAAAATAAAAAACATCCAGTTTGGATTATTGATAGTGACTGGATTTTGACCGGAAGTTAACGGCATGAATTACCTTTTATTTGATGGAGCAGTTGTTCTATTCTTATCAGTTTGGATAAAACATGACAAGAATAAAAATCTAGTATATCAACAATTATTTAACTGAGAGTGAATGGTTGAAGTAAATAATTAATTGTACATATGCTCTATTGACACTTATTGAAACACTGGTGAGAATTGGATCAAACAGATTTTAATTCAAAGTGAATTGAAATTTTTTTTTTCTCTTTAAAGCAAATGGACACTAGACCGACTACTAATTAATGGGATAATAAAAGTCAATGCTGTTCAATTGACTTTCAATGAGCGAGATGTTTCAAGAGAAGTTAATGGAACATAGTTCACCTACAATTTATGGGTGATAAGGAAAAATAAATGAAAATCTTCTGTTGCAACAAAACATGGCAAATGAGTTAAAAATAAACCAGTGTTGGTAAGTCAAAGCCAAGGTAGCGTAGGTTCAACAAAAATCTATGGGAAAGGTAATCTATCGCAACTGAATGCTGTTCTAATAACATTCAATGGGTCAATTATTTTTCTGAAAGGTGAAAGGACAAGTCCCCACTTAAATTTTGCATTGGTTTCTCATAAAGTTACTAGGGGAGAAATTTTCCATTGAAAGTCAATGAAACAACAACAGTGGTGTTGAAGTGGAATTGTTACTTCTCTGTTGCTGGTTGTTGTAAAACACTTAATAAGCATGGACACACATGTCATGCGGAGTGGCCTGAAGAGACTTTGGCCAGAACCTTCTTTACGTATTGTATATACAGTATATTCTGCATATATACAGTGTAAACATGTACTGAGTGTATGAATAGATAGAGAACACATCATCAGGTTGGTTTTGTCTTCAAATGTCCTTTGGATTAACATCGTGTTGTTTTTGGAATGGACGGTTTCATGAGGATGACTTGAGGTATTCACTCGAGTGCAGAGCTCTCCTCAAAGTGGCTGCAAAACACAAGAGAAAATGGACAGAGAGGAGGGTTAGTGATATAAAACAACTCCAATTTGACAAAGCTATATTGTATTCTACTCTATGTCCCTTCTAGCCATTGACATATAAGAATATTGTGCTTTTGGCTTGTCATTACTTCAACATGCTTCAGGATTAGAAGATGAATTGGGCTCGGTATGGTCAGATTTTTGATTTGGGTCAGGCAAATAGTTGAGAAGGTTAACGCTCCTGTTAGTAACTTTTGGTTGGTGTTGATTTTTTTAAAAGTTTTTGCTTATTTTGTCCTGTACATGTGTAGGTAGTGATTTCTGATGAAAAATCTCCTCCTACTGTCTTTTAACTGGCAGGTAGCACTCACAGAGAATTTTTACTGTGGAAAATGTAAACAGTCTGATTCTGCAGTGCGTACAGTATATGCTGTAACTCACTTTGCCTGACACCTACCCCCCAGCAGTGGTTACAAGCAAAATTAACCTTATAGAGAGTATCATTGTTGATGCAGATGGTCTCATTAGCTTTAGAAGGTCATAAAGAGACATCAGTATCACTTTCAGTCAGTTTCATGACCAGCATAAAACTCTTAACAGGAGCATTAAGGTACATTTGATGTCTATGGAATGCATTTTGTTAATAAGAGCTACGATTGAATAAGAGTACACCTTTTTTTTCTGTGTGTTTGTTCCTACCAATTGAAAGTTGTTTAGGAGATGGTCTACGTTGATGTCACTGTAGCTGTCCTGGAAGGTGTTGGGTTCATCCATGGAGTCCTCTGGGTCACTGGCTACAGGATCTTCTAGGCTGTGTGTGAAGGTTTGGTGTGAATATGGAGAGACAAGGCAGTAACCTTTAACTGTCTACATTTTTTTTGTTTGAAAAAGGGTCGCTATACTTTAAATCCTAGTTCGAAGAAAAATATAAAATGTACAAATGTCTATTTGAAAATGATGATATTACTATACCTCTGTCTGTTTTTGGTATATTATTATAGCTTTACTTATCAAAACAATCATTTCCCTCAAGAGATTATTTTTATAAATGAAGAAAGCTTTTCAATATTGCCAAACGATCCCATTTTTTGCTTACTATTTCAGTTCTGTGGGGAATTCAATAACTCCAGGAGTGATATATCGATACATTCAGCTTGAGGGAGAAAGAAGCAAGGATAAACAAGTGAAGGAAGACACAACAAATACATACCTTCTCTTTCCTGTCAACACTGAGTTGAGGTACTTCTTGACGGCCATCTGTTTGCGGAAGCGGCTGTAATTGTCTGTAAAGATGGCGTCTGAGTGGCGCTTCACTGGCTCATCCATCAGCTCGTCACTGTGTTAAAAATGGAACAAAGAGATACATGAAGGTTTTTTATTTTTTATTTTATTTTATTTAGTTTAACGTCACTGTAGCTCAGGATCTATGATCCATGGTGTCTTTATTCTCTATCTGTGTTAGTGAATCCCCTCCCCCCCCAGCTCTTAACATGTACTGAACCAGTTATGGCATAAATTAACCTTTAAAAAGGTTTAGTCAATTAAAAAAAAACACATCATCAGGCAGGTCCAGTCTTTCATTGCAAATGTCAAAAGGTCTGTTCGTGTTAAACTGCAAGCATTAATCTCTTTATGAAAGAGTGAACATGGTGTGTGGTCTTCTACTTTTTTATGTTTTTATTTTACAAAAACATTGCTAAGAAAAGATAATGCAGTCATGCTATGAACAATTGTTTATGTTAATTAACAGTATAGGACTTCATTCTATATATATATATCAGATACCAATGGTGAAATTTTGGCAAATAGATTCAAACTTTTCATTTCTTTTTTGTTGTTGAATGAATTTCATTAATCTTGTCACAAATTTTGTTGAGTTTTACTCAATTATGTTTTTTGATGAAAACATAAACAGGAAAAAAAAGATGCAAGTCCAAAATAAAATGATTTCTTCACAACTATGCAACACTTGAAGTATACTTCTTTGTCATTTTGTCAGCTGTAGCCTTTGCATTCAGCAAAACAACATTTACATGGACAGTTTGTTTGTTATGACATTTATACCTCTATATAACGGTGACATGCTGGAACTACAGACTTCGGTTTTTTACTTCTACTTTTAGCTGTCCATCACTCCCCCCTCAATGATTAAAAAGGCAATGTTTGATATCAGTGAAAGCAGGATTTAAGGGGAAAATAAAGCAGGTCCTCTCGGTTAAGGCAATAGACTTGGTATTTGCCGTCTTAATTGAAGAATTGGGAAACTTTATGGGTTTTTCTTTTTGTTTGTTTTTTTCAATTAGAAAATGAGTTCATGAAGCTTTGTCCTGCAACCCTATTAAATTCTACCAAATGATTTGATTTTGTGCCCGGTCTCCCGGGTGATCTAGAATGAAGGGTCCCCTACCTGACCCGTTTTCCGATCAGAGACTCCAGATACCTCCGCGCTGACAGCTGTCCGAGCAGTTTGCTGTATCCACTGGTGAACAGACCGTCTGCGTGTCTCGACGGTCTGCGCAGCACCACAAGAAGACAACGTGAGTATCTGGTCGCATTTGATAAAATAATACACAAAATAACGCGGATAAAAACATCTAAAGGTTTGGCAGAAGTTCCAAAATGATGCCAGTGATGGTCTACATTGGATAGTGCGACGGTTTTCAATTTCTTCTAAACATGGAAACGGAGACTGTTCAGTCAGCACATTTACCATCAAATTGATTCTTGATTTCACTCTCTAAAGACAGGCTTTGCGTAAAACTTACAACGGAGCTGTATTGGGGGAAAAGCGACTAGCCTTACACATCATGTTCAATAAGTAGAAGACGTCGTGGGAGATCACGGCAAGTATGTGACAGAAATGTTCAAAATTGCTCTTGCTTAGAGCATCAATTTCGTTGTTGAGGGAAATATATTAGCTTTGACTCGGGCATCATGAACCAACACCCAGTGACAATGTTTTTACATTATCACTGAAATTGTAATGACATGAAAAGTCAAATAACCTGAATGAACCAAAACAGGAGCGCTGGATTATTTTTTTCCTCTCATTAGTTTCACAGATCACAGTTTCTCTTACCTCATGGATGTGTATGGCAGACTCAAAGTCCGGGAGTAAAACACACTGCACAGGGCTATTAGGAAAAGCAGATGGGGTCCGGTTCGTTGTAACATCGCTTTACACCTGAGGGTGGAAACGGATGTGAAAATGTTTATTCTGCCCTTAACATGAAGACAGCAAGCATCCAATGTAATTTCTCATCAGCCTATCGACCGAAATGCAGAGCACATGTACGACTCAAAATACCGTTAGTTTTTACGTGTGGTTAAGTGTAACTGTCAAGACCTAACAAGTTGTCGATTGGTCAAGGAAAGAGTTAGAGCGGAAAGTAGAAGAGACAGAAGTCCCGTAGTTTAGCCAAGACGAGCCAATTGGAAAACGGTCTTGTAAAAAAAAGAAGAAAAAAAAATCGTGTAATTGTGAATTTTGTCAGAGGAGAACAGAAAGAAGCGGAATCTGATGCGTAATTACGCGCGGCTGACAAGGACACCATCATTATGCTACAGAGGCTGTAAAATGTTCGAAACATGTTTAACTATAAGCTCTTTAAGGTGTTCTTCTTTAAAATTAGTTCAACCCCCACCCTCATACTTCTTTTTTACTCGAAAGCGCTGTATAGGAAATTCAACTTTTGACATTTGAAAAACCTTAAATTACAATTTAAGAAAAAAGAGAAATGCCAGGTTATTGATCTTTCACTTATCTCTCCGTTGGGGGTAAATTTTAACACTGGAAGGAAAAATAACTCAAATGAATCCAATGCGTAATTACGCACAACACGGTCAAAAACAAGCACCAACCATAGTTTTACACTGCGGGGACGGTGCGATTCAGTTGCCAGCATCGACCAAAAAAAAAAAAAAAAAAAGATATAATACAGGAGTAATTTCATCGATATCAATTTTGATAATAATTTGAAACACCCATCCGAACAACTGCGTTGGTAAAAATAAAAAACGCAGGTTCCAAAGACCAAACACGGAGACCATCGAGGAGGGCCATCTATAAAAGCAGAACAACATTTTTTAGGAGTAAATTTAAAATCTTACATGTGCTCTTGTTGTCGGAGTTGTCGGCTTCGTTCTCTTTCCGCTGCGCTGTCCAAAGCCCTGATCTAGAGCAGCTGCTGTATCTCCACTGTGATGCTTCTGACTCTCTTTGTGTTTCTGTCTTCCTTGCCTTCAGGTCTGCTCCCATTTTATACACCTGGATGTTTCTCATGGAGCAGTAGGGAACATCAGATTCAATCAAGGGCCTGAGACGTCAGTAGGTCTCTGCTTCCGTCACTGGTCTTGCTCACGGTCTGAGCCAAACAGGCCTATGGTAAAAACGGAAAAGTATTCTTCGAACTAATCGTAATAATAACCAACTTACATGCAAAGGCTGATGCTGTTGACTCATTTTCCCTGAACTATTATCCAATTATAGCTGCTTCAGGTTCATGGGAAGAGATCAAATTAAAATCAGACACATCAGAATGCTACATTTGTGAAAATGAGAAGTTAAATGAAGGTGGTTTCTACAAAAATGAAGATGTTAACAGGTAAGTCTCAATAAAAAAGGGTAAAATAATATTAGAACTGCTTTACTCTTTCACACATCACCCATAAATTGCAGAAATGCTGATGTAATCTCCAGTTGCATAAAGAACAGAACCATTTCTATCACATGAACAAAAGTTTTAGAGACCCTTTGAATGATACCAGATATGTGGTATTTTAGATATGCAGTGAGTGACCTTGTAAAAGTTTATTTCTTTGTAGGTTCCTGGGATGGTAAATCTTTAGTGGCTCTCAGATAAAAGGTTATACCGTGTCTTGCTTACAAAATCATTTGGATCTTAATTTTGTTAGATAATAATTTAAGGAAATGCATTCATTCTGATATGTCGGTTTTTACTGTCAAAATGTTTTGCAGTTCCAGCCCAGACAAAGTCATCAGTTTAAATAACAGTAACAATTTAACACTGACAGCTTTTGTCTTTTTTCACCCCTCAAAACCAGAGAAATACAATTATGATGCGATGCAATGGGATGCGATGCAGTTCCTCACAGGGATATTTGTCTTGGATTTGAAAGCTGCATACATTTAGCTTCCTCTAGTATAAAGCAAGACAAGTTTATTCATATAGCACATTTCAACAACAAGGCAATTCAAAGTGCTTCAGTAGTAGTAGTAGTAGTAGTAGTAGTAGTAGTAGTAGTAGTAGTATAAATAAATAAAGAACAAGGCGAAAAAGACGATCAACATGTAAACAGAGAAGCAGATACCAATGACTATCACAAATAACATATTTTTCACATTGTCCATATTGCCCATAATCCACCAACTCCAACATGCATCATACGACTGTTAGTGAAAGAGATAAGAACACCATGAAGCTATTGCAGAACTCTAACATCCTCAAGAATCATTATTTAACATGTTGATTGCTATTGGCACAAATGAGTTCAAACCAATTCAAAACAAATCAGCTTTCCCTGTTTCCAGTCAACACTTGGATGCAGGTCATTATTTGTCATGGAAACATAGTCAATTATTTATAGTGACAAATATGAAGTGGAAGTGTACAGTATGTTGTTGATCATTTCACTTTTGATGCACCAAATACCAACCCAATTTGAATTGTTCTTCAATAAGATAGTCTAGGTTGGCTTTGAAGAGCATTTCTAAAAAGTGGAGACTCAAACACATGATGAACTTTAGACACTTTTCATTAACCAAAGAACCAAAAACCATGACCACAGATTTTGTTTTTTTCCTCAGAGGACCAAAGGTAAACATAGATCGACTTCAGCTCCTGGACACAACTTTAATTGGCCCTGATTTCTGTCATAAAAACATGTTTTCACAGATGGAATGAGATGTGTCTCCAAGCATAATTTTAAGCTTTAAACATTGTCTTTTTTTAGCTTTTGCATTGTCCTCTCATGACACTAATACTTAATTCCACAACAATGTTACTAAAATCCCACTGGAGCCATTTATATCCACTGGTTTATAAGTAAGCCCTGAGCACTGAAGACTGAACAAAAACACAAGGATCTTGCAGATTACCAGACAATTTCAAAAACATTATAGGGGGTGTTTCAAAGATACTGAACCTTTATGTTTTCTATTTCAGGTAGTGCCGGGCTTTAACAAACAAACGTCAAACAGGACTGAAGTGTTTCTGAATCCACCCACAGTGTCCCTGATGAGTCTGATTTGCTGCACTGGAATGGCACAGTGAATTAGTCGTGACGTTGGCTGGTGCCTCATCCATCCATCCATTCATCCATCCATCTTTCAACCATCCATCTTAATGTGTGTGAACCATTTAGCCCATTTCACTGCAGGGAAAGATGGCTGGCTTGGATGTGGCTTAAAGAGAGAAAAAACGGGAGACTGCAGAGCCACTCTAGGTGTTCATAGAAGAGGATGATTATGATATTGATGTTAAATCAAATGCAATCAGCTATCAGCTCTAAACTGCATTTTGTATTTGTCATGAAGTCTCAACATACTTGTTATATGTCATTTATACAGTATGTGGGTTCAAGTTACAGTGAGGAACTGTCATTGCGTGTCATTATCAGTGCACCCTCTGGACAAAGCGACACATATCATCTTTTGTTGATCTTACATGCATAAGAAGTGTTTTCTGATAAACTGTCTTTAAACTCACATAGGTAGTACTGACTGTGAATCTTTATGTGGAAAACGTAAACACAGGCTGTAAAATGACTATATAGAAATAATCTCTCTGATGGTCTTATTTGCTTTGTTGCTCACAAAGAGGCATCAGCATTGATTTAAGTCTGTTTCATAATCGCTTAAAACTCCTCACGGGCAGCCCAGGTTCAAATCCTTGTGGTTCCTTTCCCGCATGTCATTCCCCACTCTCTCTCTCCCTGATTTCAAACGCTATCCACTGTCCTGTTTCTCCATTAAAGGCACAAAAAGCCCAAAAATAAATCTTCAAAATGTGTTTCAGCTATAATGAAGATTTAAATTAAATACCATTGTCTACTAGTTGGAGATAAGCACTAATTTGTGGTAACATAGTTACAGTTTGGGATAGGAAATAAATATCCAAATGGCACAAAAAAAAAATTATTCGATCTTAGCATAAACAACCAAAATAACAATATTTACTTTAAAAAAATAATCAGTTTGGGTTGACATTTTGGCCACTTGGTAGGCACTGCTTTAGGTGCCTTAAACCAGGAGGCACAAACCTCCACTAGTTGACAGGATTAGAGGATAAACTTGTTCGGAGCTGCTGGTTACTGGGACGTCCCAAAACATTGCATAAGCCATAGATCAAGAAGTCAAAGGTTAATAATGAGGGAATATCACACAAACGTTTAATAGGACTTAAGAGTTTTTAGCTGGTTATGATACGGACTGATAATATCACTGATATACTATACTATAAAAGCAAAAGAGATCATCGGAGATCAAATTTGATATTTCTATATTTTTAATTGTATGCCTGTAACTGGGGTAACCTTGGGGTATAGGTGTCAGAGGAGGGGAAAAGCAACAACCCAAAACATGCCTTGTTTACATTTTCCACAGAAAATATTCCCAGCGCTCCACACTGTACGCTAGACTGTTAAAAGGAAGTAGGATAATTACACAATTCACACATGCACAGAACAAGATCATCCAAGAGTTGAGAGGAACAACTTTGTCCACAAGGGGTCGCAAAATGGACACAACCCCAAAGTTCCTCACTGGAGCTTTAAATTATAAATTGATGAGCTTATTTAACAAAAAAAAAAAAAAAAGAAGAAGAATCAACTTAATTTTTTGGAACCATATTGCAATGCCAAATTCTCATCTAACTAAATTTGAATATAATGGGACAATCAGATTGGAAATTTTTTGCTTACGGCTGCGGCCATTATCTTTAAAGGGTCATCTCATAAAAATCAACAGGTTATATTCTTTCATAGACTAAAATAGAAGTGGATACATTTTAGGGAGCACAGTTGCAAGTATCTGTCAAGTTAAAAAAGTCAGAAACATATGATGAGCCGAACAAGTTTTTATAGGGTGGGAGCAATTTCTGAGAAGAAAATAAAAAAAAAATGTTTTATTGCTATTTTTCTTTCATGTTGTGGTTGTGTACCTGACAAAGATCAAAACTGTCTTTTACCACTACATCGTGACAACAGCCTCTCAGGCCTCTTGATATCTCCTCCCCAACAGCAGATGCCCCATCTTCTCCTCCTCTACCTCCTCCTTCTGCCTCATCTTAACCATGATGGCACCATATGAACCTTAATGTGATCAGTCGAGAGAGAAAGTAGATTAGGCAGAAGTCCATGGGAGAAGGAGCTGGTCTAATTGACAGCAGTGATTGGAGACAGATCCCTGCAGGAAGAGGAAGCTGATGGAGGAAACATCAGCGACATTATGTTGATGGAATGTACGGAGGAAAACGTGCCTATGGACGAGTCACAGGCCGACTAGCCTCTGTACGCAGGATGACACGGAGGACAGAAGACAACAGTGTAATGTTTTTTTTTTAAATTTAACTTCCGCTGCCAATGCTCTGCTTAAAAATGTGACAGAATGCATGTTGAAATTAGTAAAAAGAAGTCTGACAAACTGCCTCAGGTGATGTCACCTGAGTTAGTGTAAGTTAGTGCTGAGGACAAATCATTTGAAATATCTAACAGGGGGAGTCAGACATAAGTTTGTTTTACATATTTGTCTGATGCTAGCAAGCTGATGCTCCATCATTTAGCACAACACACCTTATTCATCAGTATACACTGCTTTGCATTGTGGGGAATGTAGGCAAAAATTCACTGAAATAACAAAACAAAGAAACAAAAAGACCATAAAGCCTAAATCAAAGATTTACTTTTACTGCTACACCACACATCACACAAGTTCAACAACAAGTACCGATACTCTTTTACTTTCACTACTCATATTTTTCTGTTTACTCCATACTTTTACTTTAGGGTCCACTGCTTCACTTTGATTGCAATAATTTCAACTACATCTGAAGGAAGAGTGAAAGTGCAACGGTCCAAAGTAAGAGGTTATCATGAGTTCAACTGTTATTAAGGTAAAAGTATGTTTAAAAAATGTTAAGTACCAAGAATATGTGTTAAGCACGATGACTCCTCTCAAAAGGGATTCCTATATTATAAATTTACATGATTCTGTTTTCTTCACTCACAAATGCATGTCA